GCAGTAAGTGACTTTATAAAGGGCAGTAAAGTGACTTTATAAAGGGCAGTAAGTGACTTTATAAAGGGCAGTAAGTGACTTTATAAAGGGCAGTAAAGTGACTTTATAAAGGGCAGTAAAGTGACTTTATAAAGGGCAGTAAAGTGACTTTATAAAGGGCAGTAAGTTACTTTATAAAGGGCAGTAAAGTGACTTTAAAAGGGCAGTAAGTGACTTTATAAAGGGCAGTAAGTTTACATTATTAAAGGGCAGTAAAGTGACTTTATAAAGGGCAGTAAAGTGACTTTATAAAGGGCATGTAAGTGACTTTATAAAAGTGCAGTAAAGTGACTTTATAAAGGGCAGTAAAGTGACTTTATAAAGGGCAGTAAAGTGACTTTATAAAGGGCAGTAAAGTGACTTTATAAAGGGCAGTAAGTGACTTTATAAAGGGCAGTAAAGTGACTTTATAAAGGGCAGTAAAGTGACTTTATAAAGGGCAGTAAAGTGACTTTATAAAGGGCAGTAAAGTGACTTTATATAAGGGGCAGTAAAGTGACTTTATAAAGGGCAGTAAAGTGACTTTATAAAGGGCGGTAAAGTGACATTATAAAGGGCAGTAAAAGTGACTTGCATAAAGGGCAGTAAGTGACTTTTATAAAGGGCGGTAAGTGACTTTATAAAGGGCAGTAAGTGACTTTATAAAGGGTGGTAAAGTGACTTTATTTAAGGGCAGTAAGTGACTTTATAAAGGGCGGTAAGTGACTTTATAAAGGGCAGTAAGTTACTTTATAAAGGGCAGTAAAGTGACTTTGTAAGGGGCAGTAAAAGTGACTTTGTAAGGGGCAGTAAAGTGACTTTATAAAGGGCAGTAAAGTGACTTTATAAAGGGCGGTAAGTGACTTTATAAAGGGCAGTAAAGTGACTTTATAAAGGGGGACAGTAAGTGACTTTAATAAGGGGGCAGTAAAGTGACTGCTATAAAGGGCAGTAAAAGTAGTCTTTATAAAAGTGCGGTAAGTTGACTTTATAAAAGGGCGGTAAGTGACTTTATAATAGGGCAGTAAAGTACTGCAGCGATGAAGGTGAGGTATATGTACTTTATAAGGGGCAGTAATCAGTGACATTTATAAAGGGCTTAAAGTGACTTTTATAAAGGGCGGTAAGTGACATTATAAAGGGCAGTAAAGGTGACTTTATAAAGGGCAGGTAAGGTGACTTAAGGTGAAGGGCGGTAAGGTGACTTTATAAAGGGCAGTAAAGTGACTTTATAAAGGGCAGGTAACGTGACTTTATTAAGGGCAGTAAGTGACTTTATAAAGGGCAGTAAAGTCACTTTATAAAGGGCAGTAAAGTGACTTTATAAAGGGCAGTAAGTGACTTTATAAAGGGCAGTAAAGGACTTTATAAAGGGCAGTAAAGTGACTTTGTAAGGGCAGTAAAGTGACTTTATAAAGGGCAGTAAAGTGACTTATAAAAGGGCAGTAAAAGTGACTTTATAAAGGGCGGTAAGTGACTTTATAAAGGCGGTAAGTGACATTTTAAAGGGGCAGACTTTATAAAGTGACTTTATAAAGGGCAGTAAAGTGACTTTATAAAGGGCAGTAAAGTGACTTTATAAAGGGCAGTAAGTGACTTTATAAAGGGCAGTAAAGTGACTTTATAAAGGGCAGCAACAAAATAAAGTGACTTTATAAAGGGCAGTAAAGTGACTTTATAAAGGGCAGTAAAGTGACTTTATAAAGGGCAGTAAAGTAACTTTATAAAGGGACAGTAAAGTGACTTTATAAAGGGCAGTAAAGTGACATTATAAAGGGCAGTAAGTGACATTATAAAGGGCAGTAAAGTGACTTTATAAAGGGGCAGGTAAAGTGACTTTATAAAGGGCAGTAAGTGACTTTATAAAGGGCAGTAAAGTGACTTTATAAAGGACAGTAAAAAGTGACTTTATAAAGGGCAGTAAAGTGACTTTATAAAGGGCAGTAAAGTGACTTTATAAAGGGCAGTAAAGTGACTTTATAAAGGGCAGATAAGTCGACTTTATAAAGGGCAGTAAAGTGACTTTATAAAGGGCTGTAAGTGACTTTATAAAGGTGCAGTAAAGTGACTTTATAAAGGGCAGTAAAAGTGACTTTATAAAGGGCAGTAAAGTGACTTTATAAAGGGCAGTAAAGTGACTTTATAAAGGGGCAGTAAAGTGACTTTATAAAGGGCAGTAAAGTGACTTTATAAAGTGCAGTAAGTGACTTTATAAAGGGCAGTAACGTGACTTTATAAAGGGCAGTAAAGTGACTTTATAAAGGGGCAGTAAAGTGACTTTTATAAAGGGCAGTAAGTGACTTTATAAAGGGCAGTAAGTGACTTTATAAAGGGCAGTAAAGTGACTTTATAATAAGGGGTGTAAGGGCAGTAAAGTGACTTTGTAAGGGCAGTAAAGTGACTTTATAAAGGGCAGTAAAGTGACTTTATAAGGGGGCGGTAAGTGACTTTATAAAGGGCAGTAAAGTGACTTTATAAAGGGCAGTAAAGTGACTTTATAAGGGGCAGTAAAGTGAATTTATAAAGGGCAGTAAAGTGACTTTATAAGGGGCCGGTTAAGTGACTTGATAAAGGGCAGTAAAGTGACTTTATAAAGGGCGGTAAGTGACTTTTATAAAGGGCAGTAAAGTGACTTTATAAGGGGCAGTAAAGTGACTTTATAAAGGGCAGTAAAGTGACTTTATAAAGGGCAGTAAAGTGACTTTATAAAGGAACAGTAAGTGACTTTAAAAGGGTGCAGTAAAGTGACTTTATAAAGGGCAGTAAAGTGACTTTATAAAGGGCGTAAAAGTGACTTTATAAAGGGCAGTAAGTGACTTTATAAGGGCAGCAAAAGTGACTTTATAAAGGTCAGTAAAGTGACTTTATAAAGGGCAGTAAAGTGACTTTATAAAGGGCAGTAAAGTGACTTTATAAAGGGCAGTAAAGTGACTTTATAAAGGGCAGTAAAGTGACTTTATAAAGGGCAGTAAAGTGACTTTATAAAGGGCAGTAAAGTGACTTTATAAAGGGCAGTAAAGTGACTTTATAAAGGGCAGTAAAGTGACTTTATAAAGGGCAGTAAAGTGACTTTATAAAGGGCAGTAAAGTGACTTTATAAAGGGCAGTAAAGTGACTTTATAAAGGGCAGTAAGTGACTTTATAAAGGGCAGTAAAGTGACTTTATAAAGGGCAGGTAAAGTGACTTTATAAAGGGGCAGTAAAGTGACTTTATAAAGGGCAGTAAGTTGACTTTATAAAGGGCAATTACTATATAAGTGACTTTATAAAGGGCAGTAAAGTGACTTTGTAATGGGCATTCACGTGACTATATAAAGGGCAGTAAGTGACTTTATAAAGGGCGGTAAGGTGACTTTATAAAGGGCAGTAAGTGACTTTATAAAGGGCAGTAAAGTGACTTTATAGGGGAACAGTAAAGTGACTTTATAAGGGGCAGTAAAGTGACTTTATAAAGGGCAGTAAAGTGACTTTATAAAGGGCAGTAAAGTGACTTTATAAAGGGCAGTAAAGTGACTTTATAAAGGGCAGTAAGTGACTTTATAAAGGGCAGTAAAGTGACTTTATAAAGGGCAGTAAGTGACTTTATAAAGGGCAGTAAGTGACTTTATAAAGGGCAGGACAGTAGGTGACCTTATAAAGGGCAGTAAAGGGACATTATAAAGGGAAGTGAGGGGACTTCTAGAGGGCGGGGGGACAGGTTAAGAAGTACTCAAGAGTCCAACACACTGGGGTAGTCTTGCACAGTTTTTCCAATGTGGTTTTACTGCAAATGGCAAATAAATGAATCTGAATCTGAATCTGAATCTGAGGGGAAGAAATTGTTCTTGTGGCGGGAGGTTCTAGTCCTGATGGACCGCAGCCTCCTGCCTGAGGGGAGAGGTTGGAACAGTCCATGTGCAGGTGAGAGGGGAGTGGTTGGCAGGTGAGAGGGGAGTGGTTGGAATAGTCCATGTGCAGGTGAGAGGGGAGTGGTTGGAATAGTCCATGTGCAGGTGAGAGGGGAGTGGTTGGAATAGTCCATGTGCAGGTGAGAGGGGAGTGGTTGGAATAGTCCATGTGCAGGTGAGAGGGGAGTGGTTGGAATAGTCCATGTGCAGGGTGAGAGGGGAGTGGTTGGAATAGTCCATGTGCAGGTGAGAGGGGAGTGAGTTGGAACAGTCCATGTGCAGGTGAGAGGGGAGTGGTTGGAATAGTCCATGTGCAGGTGAGAGGGGAGTGGTTGGAAATAGTCCATGTGCAGGTGAGAGGGGAGTGGTTGGAATAGTCCATGTGCAGGTGAGAGGGGAGTGATTGGAATAGTCCATGTGCAGGTGAGAGGGGAGTGGTTGGAATAGTCCATGTGCAGGTGTGAGGGGAGTGGTTGGAATAGTCCATGTGCAGGTGAGAGGGGAGTGGTTGGAATAGTCCATGTGCAGGTGAGAGGGGAGTGGTTGGAATAGTCCATGTGCAGGTGAGAGGGGAGTGGTTGGAATAGTCCATGTGCAGGTGAGAGGGGAGTGGTTGGAAACAGTCCATGTGCAGGTGAGAGGGGAGTGGTTGGAACAGTCCATGTGCAGGTGAGAGGGGAGTGGTTGGAATAGTCCATGTGCCGGTGAGAGGGGAGTGGTTGGAATAGTCCATGTGCAGGGTGAGAGGGGAGTGGTTGGAATAGTCCATGTGCAGGTGAGAGGGGAGTGGTTGGAATAGTCCATGTGCAGGTGAGAGGGGAGTGGTTGGAATAGTCCATGTCCAGGGTGAGAGGGTAGTGGTTGGAATAGTCCATGTGTCCAGGTGAGAGGGGAGTGGTTGGAACAGTCCATATGCCGGTGAGAGGGGAGTGGTTGGAATAGTCCATGTGCAGGGTGAGAGGGGTCGGCTGTGATACGACCAGCCCGGCCTCGAGCTCGGGCGACGTACAGGTCCTGCAGCGATGGAAGACCTTCTCTGCAGAGCGCACAGGAGGTGGAGGAGGTGATGAGAAAGGTGGAGGATGAGAGGAGGTGATGGAGGAGGTGCTGAAGGAGCTGATGGACAAGGTGATGGAGGAAGTGATAGAGAAAGTGATGGAGGAGCTGGTGGAGGAGGTGATCGAAGAGGTGATGGAGGAGGTGCTGGAGGAGGTGCTGGAGGAGGTGATAGAGGAGGTGATGGAGGAGGTGCTGGGGGTTGGAGGTGCAGTGGCTGGAGGTACAGTGGTTGGAGGTGCAGCCAGAAGAGGTGCGGCGGGAGGAGGTGCAGTGGGAGGAGGTGCAGTGGTTGGAGGTGCAGTGGGAGGAGGTGCAGTGGTTGGAGGTGCGGCGGGAGGAGGTACGGCGGGAGGAGGTACGGCGGGAGGAGGTACGGCGGGAGGAGGTGCAGTGGGAGGAGGTGCAGTGGTTTGAGGTGCAGAGGTGCAGTGGGAGGAGGTGCAGTGGTTGGAGGTGCAGTGGGAGGAAGTGCAGTGGTTGAAGGTGCAGTGGGAGGAGGTGCAGTGGTTGGAGGTGCAGTGGTTGGAGGTGCAATGGTTGGAGGTGCGGTGGGAGGTGGTGCGGTGGTTGGAGGTGCGGTGGGAGGAGGTGCAGTGGTTGGAGGTGCAGTGGTTGGAGGTGCAGTGGGAGGAGGTGCAGTGGTTGGAGGTGCAGTGGGAGGAGGTGCAGTGGTTGGAGGTGCAGTGGTTGGAGGTGCAGTGGTTGGAGGTGCAGTGGTTGGAGGTGCAGTGGGAGGAGGTGCAGTGGTTGGAGGTGCAGTGGGAGGAGGTGCAGTGGTTGGAGGTGCAGTGGTTGGAGGTGCAGTGGTTGGAGGTGCAGTGGTTGGAGGTGCAGTGGTTGGAGGTGCAGTGGGAGGAGGTGCAGTGGTTGGAGGTGCAGTGGGAGGAGGTGCAGTGGTTGGAGGTGCAGTGGGAGGAGGTGCAGTGGTTGGAGGTGCAGTGGGAGGAGGTGCAGTGGTTGGAGGTGCAGTGGGAGGAGGTGCAGTGGTTGGAGGTGCAGTGGTTGGAGGTGCAGTGGTTGGAGGTGCGGCGGGAGGTGGTGCAGTGGGAGGAGGTGCAGTGGGAGGAGGTGCAGTAGTTGGTGTACAGGCTCCTGAGTCCATTCTTCTGACGCTGCTTCCTGTGCTACACAAATAAACTTGTTTTTATGACAACTACAGAAAAACAGTACACACACACAGACACACACACAGACAGACACACACACACAGACACACACACACACACACACACACACACACACACACAGACACAGACAGACACACACACACACAGACACACACACACACAGACACACCACACACACACACACACACCAGACACACACACACAGACACAGACACTCTCTCCCCCCCCTCTCTCACCCTCTCTCCCCCTCTCGCCCCCCCTCTCACCCTCTCTCTCCCCCTCCCCCCCCTCTCTCACCCTCTCTCTTCCCCCCCCTCACACCCCCTCTCCCCCTCTCACCCCCTCTCCCCCCCCCTCACCCTCTCTCTCCCCCTCCCCCCTCTCACCCCCCCCCCTCTCTCACCCTCTCTCTCTCTCCGCCCCTCTCTCACCCCCCCCCCCCCTCACCCTCTCTCCTCTCCCCCCCCTCTCTCCCCCTCTCCCCCTCTCCCCCCCCCCCCCCCTCTCACCCTCTCTCTCTCTCCCCCCCTCTCTCTCCCTCACGCACGCTCCTCCCACCAGACTGCTACCTCACACGCGCACAGAGACATGCGCTCCTGACGCTCCATCCTGGACCTTACGCTGGACCTGGTCCTGGACCGGACTCCTCAGTGGACCTAAACTGGATTATCTTTGGTCTTTGGCGGTGAGCTCTGGTGGTTCGGTCGCGCGTGCACGTGCCCCGGTGGACGCGGCATGGAGCGCGCGTTGCCGCTGCTGCTGCTGACGCTGGTGACGCGCGGAGGAGCGGCAGACGGTGAGTGAAACGTGTTGAATGTCTGCGCGCGCACTGACACACGTGCACGCGTTCCTGTCTGATGTATGTATGAGGCTCAAGCTGGCGGTCATCGGTGTTTTTTTTCCTCATGTGTTTATCACAGAACATTACGTGCGCTGTTTGCTGATGTGCGCGGCGCATGCGCACTCAGGGTTAATCACAGACGAAAGCGTTTGACGGGATCGATACTGGAATCGATACTGCGTTTATGAACGAGTCACCGTAAAGGGCGAGGACCTGGCTTAGTCCTGGCTTAGTCCTGGCTTAGTCCTGGTTTTGTCCTGGTTTTGTCCTGGTTTTGTCCTGGTTTTGTCCTGGTTTTGTCCTGGTTTTGTCCTGGTTTAGTTCTGGTTTAGTTCTGGTTCAGTCCTGGTTTAGTCCTGGTTTAGTTCTGGTTCAGTCCTGGTTCAGTCCTGGTTCAGTCCTGTTTAGTCCTGGTTTAGACCTGGTTCAGTCCTGGTTCAGTCCTGGTTTAGTCCTGGTTTAGACCTGGTTCAGTCCTGGTTTCCTGGTTTAGTCCTGGTTCAGTCCTGGTTCAGTACTGGTTTAGTCCTGGTTTAGACCTGGTTCAGTCCTGGTTCAGTCCTGGTTCAGTCCTGGTTTAGTCCTGGTTTAGTCCTGGTTTAGTCCTGGTTTAGTCCTGGTTTAGACCTGGTTCAGTCCTGGTTCAGTCCTGGTTTAGTCCTGGTTCAGTCCTGGTTTAGTCCTGGTTCAGTCCTGGTTCAGTACTGGTTCAGTCCTGGTTTAGACCTGGTTCAGTCCTGGTTTAGACCTGGTTTAGTCCTGGTTTAGTCCTGGTTCAGTCCTGGTTCCGTCCTGGTTCCGTCCTGGTCCATTCAGTTTGTGGCTCTGTTTATTGAGCAGTTGTCAATAATATTTACACATTTAATTCAACTGATTAAAACCAGGACTAAACCAGGACTGAACTAGGTCTAAACCAGGTGAACCAAGACTAAACCTCATTGGACTATCTATGCTGTCAGCGTAGATACAGTACCGTATACTTGTGAAAGTATTCGGCCCCCTTGAACCTTTCAACATTTCGCCACATTTCAGGCTTCAAAGATAAAGATATAAAAATTTAATTTTTTGTGTCAAGAATCAACAACAAGTGGGACACAATCGTGAAGTGGAACGACATTTATTGGATAATTTAAACTTTTTTAACAAATAAAAAACTGAAAAGTGGGGCGTGCAATATTATTCGGCCCCTTGCGCTAATACTTTGTAGCGCCACCTTTTGCTGCAATTACAGCTGCAAGTCACTTGGGGTATGTCTCTATCAGTTTTTCACATCGAGAGACTGGAATTCTTTCCCATTCTTCCTTGCAAAACAGCTGGAGCTCAGTGAGGTTGGATGGAGAGCGTTTGTGAACAGCAGTCTTCAGCTCTTTCCACAGATTCTGGATTGGATTCAGGTCTGGACTTTGACTTGGCCATTCTAACACCTGGATACGTCTATTTGTGAACCATTCCATTGTAGATTTGGCTTTATGTTTTGGATCATTGTCCTGTTGGAAGATAAATCTCCGTCCCAGTCTCAGGTCTTTTGCAGACTCCAACAGGTTTTCTTCCAGAATGGTCCTGTATTTGGCTCCATCCATCTTCCCATCAACTTTAGCCATCTTCCTTGTCCCTGCAGAAGAAAAGCAGGCCCAAAGCATGATGCTGCCACCACCATGTTTGACAGTGGGGATGGTGTGTTCAGGGTGATGAGCTGTGTTGCTTTTACGCCAAACATATCGTTTTGCATTGTGGCCAAAAAGTTTGATTTTGGTTTCATCTGACCAGAGCATCTTCTTCCACATGTTTGGTGTGTCTCCCAGGTGGCTTGTGGCAAACTTTAAACCAGACTTTTTATGGATATCTTTGAGAAATGGCTTTCTTCTTGCCACTCTTCCATAAAGGCCAGATTTGTGCAGTGCACGACTGATTGTTGTCCTATGGACAGACTCTCCCACCTCAGCTGTAGTTATCTGCAGTTCATCCAGAGTGATCATGGGCCTCTTGGCTGCATCTCTGATCAGTCTTCTCCTTGTTTGAGATGAAAGTTTGGAGGGACGGCCGGGTCTTGGTAGATAGTCCGAGCGTAGATAGTCCAAGGCGGTCCCGCAGGTCTCTCCCATAGACCAGTCTCTCCAGAGGATACGATGTAAGCTAGCTCTGTTCAGGGCTTGGTTTCTTCTTTGATCATGTCGTGGCTTTAGTTCCTCTTCTCTTCCTCACTCAAGTTTTACATTAAATTACGGATTATAATATAACTTGTTTGTAGTAATAAGTATTTTTATGAACTCCAGCTTAACTGCAGCAGGAGTATCTGCAGCAGGAGTATGTGCAGCAGGAGTATCTGCAGCAGGAGTATGTGCAGCAGGAGTATCTGCAGCAGGAGTATGTGCAGCAGGAGTATCTGCAGCAGGAGTATCTGCAGCAGGAGTATCTGCAGCAGGAGTATCTGCAGCAGGAGTATCTGCAGCAGGAGTATGTGCAGCAGGAGTATGTGCAGCAGGAGTATCTGCAGCAGGAGTATCTGCAGCAGGAGTATCTGCAGCAGGAGTATCTGCAGCAGGAGTATGTGCAGCAGGAGTATGTTCAGCAGGAGTATCTGCAGCAGGAGTATCTGCAGCAGGAGTATCTGCAGCAGGAGTATCTGCAGCAGGAGTATCTGCAGCAGGAGTATGTGCAGCAGGAGTATCTGCAGCAGGAGTATCTGCAGCAGGAGTATCTGCAGCAGGAGTATCTGCAGCAGGAGTATCTGCAGCAGGAGTGTCTGCAGCAGGAGTATCTGCAGCAGGAGTATCTGCAGCAAGAGTATCTGCAGCAGGAGTATGTGCAGCAGGAGTATCTGCAGCAGGAGTGTCTGCAGCAGGAGTATCTGCAGCAAGAGTATCTGCAGCAGGAGTATCTGCAGCAGGAGTGTCTGCAGCAGGAGTATCTGCAGCAGGAGTATCTGCAGCAGGAGTATCTGCAGCAGGAGTATCTGCAGCAGGAGTATCTGCAGCAAGAGTATCTGCAGCAGGAGTATGTGCAGCAGGAGTATGTGCAGCAGGAGTATCTGCAGCAGGAGTATCTGCAGCAGGAGTATCTGCAGCAGGAGTGTCTGCAGCAGGAGTATCTGCAGCAGGAGTATCTGCAGCAGGAGTGTCTGCAGCAGGAGTATCTGCAGCAGGAGTATGTGCAGCAGGAGTATCTGCAGCAGGAGTGTCTGCAGCAGGAGTATGTGCAGCAGGAGTATCTGCAGCAGGAGTGTCTGCAGCAGGAGTATCTGCAGCAGGAGTATGTGCAGCAGGAGTATCTGCAGCAGGAGTGTCTGCAGCAGGAGTATGTGCAGCAGGAGTATCTGCAGCAGGAGTGTCTGCAGCAGGAGTATCTGCAGCAGGAGTATGTGCAGCAGGAGTATCTGATTCATAAAAATGTTTCCAAGGATTAAAATATAAAGTGGAAACAAAACAGGACCTAAAACCAAGCCTTGTGGAACTCCACAGGTCAGAGGAGAGGACTGGACCAGGATTGGACCAGGACTGGACCAGGACTGGACCAGGACTGGACCAGGACTGGACCAGGACTGGACCAGGACTGAAACAGGATTGAACCAGGACTGGACCAGGACTGGACCAGGACTGAACTAAGTCTAAACAGTTGCAAAGACAAGACACTGGAGTTTCCTCTGAATGAAGGCCTCTGATTGGTCAGTCCTTATATGGTCATATCTTACAAACACACGTCACAGAGAAACCACAGATTTCAGCCCAAACTGGTGATGTCACACGTTACTGAAACAGAGGAGTTTACTTTGACATGGAAGTCAACAGGAGCCAAACTTCACCATGAGCACTTCCCTTTTGGGTGTGCATTGAGCTAGCGGGTTAGCATCGACATGTGTTGTCGATGCTAACCCGCTAGCACTGGTTCTCCTCAGGGATGTATTTTGAGTCCTCTGCTTTTTACTTTGTACACTCACGATTGTGTGTCCTCCTCTGACTCAAACTTGATCATCAAATATGCTGATGACACCACCATCATCGGTCTCATCAGTGACACTGATGAATCCTCTTATAGAGCAGAGATACAAAATGTGGTTCAGATGAGTCAAACTAACAACCTCCAGTTGAACGCATCCAAAACATGTGAACTGGTCTACGACTTCAGTCGCAATAGTTCTCATTTGTCTGTCGTAATCGACAACTCCCAGGTGCAGATCGTAGAGGAGCAAGTTTCTGGGTTTAACTCTGTCTAACCTGAAATGGGTTAAAAACACTGACCGAGTCGTAAAGAAAGCTCGTCAGCGTCTCTACTTTCTGCGTAAACTTAGAGAATTTACCACTAACTCTAAGATTGTGCTCAACTTTTATGGCTGCACCATTGAGAGTTTACTTGTTGGTTCTGTGTCTGTGTGGTTTGGAAACATCACAGATAAAGAAAAGAGAGCTTTAAACAAGGTGCTCCGCTCTGCAAAGAGGACCGTGGGCTGTGAGCTTCCTGTTCTGGAGGTTCTTTATAAATCCAGACTTTTAAACAAAGCTCTTAGGATTGTTAATGACTCTTCTGGCCACCCTGGGAAAGCCATGTTCCAGCTTCTTCCCTCTGGCAGAAGATATCGCTCTCTGAGATGCAGGACATCTCGTTACGCTAACAGTTTTTATCCACAGGCTGTTATCAGTGTGAACAGAGCACTTTAATGATTTGCACTTGTTTTGAAACTGTTTTAGTCGATCCATTTCACAGTGACATTTGTTTACTGTTTTATTTGTTTTATTTTTGTCTTTTAATGTTGTTTTATGTCTGTATTTGTCTGTGCACACTGGAGACTTTTGCTAATGTATTCCAATGTGGTTTTACTGCAAATGGCAAATAAACTGAATCTGATGTACTGTCAATTTGTATGTGTGTGTGTGTCTGTGTGTGTGAATGTGCGTGTCTGTTTGTGTGTGTGAGTGTGTCTCTGTGTGTGTGTGTCTCTGTGTGTGAATGTGTGTGTCTGTGTGTGTGAATGTGTGTGTCTGTGTGTGTGAATGTGTGTGAATGTGTGTGTCTCTGTGTGTGAATGTGTGTGTGTGTGTCCGGGTCAAACGCAGGACGGTTGTATGTTGTGTCTCTTTCGCCTCATTCAGATTCTGCTCAGGACTAGAATCATAACGACTCTGCTCCTCCCCCACACGCACTAGACCGGGTTTAGACCTGCTTTAGTCCTGCTTTAGTCCTGCTTTAGTCCTGCTTTAGACCTGCTTTAGACCTGCTTTAGACCTGCTTTAGACCTGCTTTAGTCCTTTAGTCCTGCTTTAGTCCTGCTTTAGACCTGCTTTAGTCCTGCTTTAGTCTGCTTTAGACCTGCTTTAGTCCTGCTTTAGACTGCTTTAGTCCTGCTTTAGACCTGCTTAGTCCTGCTTTAGTCCTGCTTTAGACCTGCTTTAGACCTTTAGTCCTGCTTTAGTCCTGCTTTAGACCTGCTTTAGTCCTGCTTTAGTCCTGCTTTAGTCCTGCTTTAGACCTGCTTTAGTCCTGCTTTAGTCCTGCTTTAGACCTGCTTTAGACCTGCTTTAGTCCTGCTTTAGACCTGCTTTAGACCTGCTTTAGTCCTGCTTTAGTCCTGCTTTAGACCTGCTTTAGACCTGCTTTAGACCTGCTTTAGTCCTGCTTTAGTCCTGCTTTAGTCCTGCTTTAGTCCTGCTTTAGACCTGCTTTAGACCTGCTTTAGTCCTGCTTTAGTCCTGCTTTAGACCTGCTTTAGACCTGCTTTAGTCCTGCTTTAGTCCAGCTTTAGTCCTGCTTTAGTCCTGCTTTAGACCTGCTTTAGACCTGCTTTAGTCCTGCTTTAGACCTGCTTTAGTCCTGCTTTAGTCCTGCTTTAGACCTGCTTTTTGATTTTGTCGTTTTCTCTCTCATTTGTTGATAATCATCTAATAATCTGCTGTCAGACAAAAGTTAATTATGGTTTTGGATTAATCCAGTTTTGTTCTGTCTCACTGGTCTCTCTCTGGTCTCGCTCTGGTCTCTCTCTGGTCTCTCTCTGGTCTCTCTCTGGTCTCTCTCTGGTCTCTCTCTGGTCTCTCTCTGGTCTCGCTCTGGTCTCTCTCTGGTCTCGCTCTGGTCTCTCTCTGGTCTCTCTCTGGTCTCTCTCTGGTCTCTCTCTGGTCTCTCTCTGGTCCTTGGTGACAGAGCGTCTGGACTTGTGTTTTTCAGATTGTTTCGTTGCAGCTGAACAAACGAGTCTGAATTAATAATGGGGAAAACAAACAAACTCATGCATTTTTAATTGTACATTTGTCTTGTTTCCACTGACACATCTGTCCTGCTTAGTCCTGCTTTAGTCCTGCTTTAGTCCTGCTTAGTCCTGCTTTAGTCCTGCTTTAGACCTGCTTTAGTCCTGCTTTAGTCCTGCTTTAGACCTGCTTTAGTCCTGCTTTAGACCTGCTTTAGTCCCGTTTACAGGACTAAAGTTTACACAGAGACGCTCTGCGACAGTTAAGCTTTTATGCCGCTTTTCCACAGTAACGGTACGGTACGGTACGGTGCAACCACGTCATTTACGCTCGACGCGTAACTAGTAACATTGGTGCGGTGCATGGTTTTATTATATTATCGGTGATAGCTGCTATTACCTCCAGGGGGCTCCTCTTACCCCCTGCAGTACTGACTATTACCTCCAGGGGGCTCTCTTACCCCCTGCAGTACTGAGTATTGCCTCCAGGGGGCTCTCTTACCCCCTGCAGTACTGACTATTACCTCCAGGGGGCTCGCTTACCCCCTGCAGTACTGCGTATTGCCTCCAGGGGGCTCTCTTACCCCCTGCAGTACTGAGTATTGCCTCCAGGGGGCTCCTAAACCTTTTCAGGACACAGAGACAGACGAACAGCAAGTGTTTAATAGAAGATTCCGCACAGAGCGAGTGTTGTTGAAAAAGCTTTGGTCTTAAAGGAACGACTCGGACTCTGAGCTTCTGAAGTCACTGGTGCTGACTCTGCTCTGTACCATCAGTGAAAACCATGGAGAGACCATGTGGCAGAATGGGACACACCTGTAGCAGCAGCAGCTGTGTAGCACTGGTGCAGAGGAGGGTCTGATGCGTAACTTGTCATCTGCCTGAACATTTATTTTAAATAAAACCTTTGTATTTCCCAGAGGTCTCCATCTACCAACGTTATACGGATTTACTGACAAATATAAAGTATGTAGTAAAAGTACAGAAGTATGTAGTAAAAGTACTTAAGTATGTAGTAAAAGTACTTAAGTATGTAGTAAAAGTACTTAAGTATGTAGTAAAAGTACTTAAGTATGTAGTAAAAGTACTTAAGTATGTAGTAAAAGTACAGAAGTATGTAGTAAAAGTACTTAAGTATGTAGTAAAAGTACTTAAGTATGTAGTAAAAGTACTTAAGTATGTAGTAAAAGTACTTAAGTATGTAGTAAAAGTACTTAAGTATATAGTAAAAGTACTTAAGTATGTGGTAGGGAATGGTAACTTTTGAAGCCCTTTTCTGCAGTGTACAGACGCTGACTTTTGGGGCTTTCTGTGAGATTCCATTTCTCTGGAGTGAGGAGGAGGTAATGTAGCCGAAGCAGAGCAGCCGGTTTTAAAGATGGCGGTTGAGTTGTTTTTACCAAAGGGTCAAACGCCGCTGCCGGTGACGACACTCGCTGACCAATCAGTGAAAGGCAGTGGGCCGACGTCACGTCATGGCATCGGTACTACGGAGATGGAACCACAGTCGAGGTGGTAAGAAAAAGTAACACAAACTTGGATACCAAATACCAGTGGAAATGCAAATAAACCGCACCGCACCGTACCGTACCGTACTGTACCGTACCGTACTGTACTGTACCGCACCGTACCGTACCGTACTGTACCGTACCGTACCGTACTGTACCGTACCGTACCGTACTGTACTGTACCGCACCGTACCGTACCGTACTGTACCGTACCGTACCGTACTGTACCGTACCGCACCGTACCGTACCGTACTGTACCGCATCGTTACACACCGCTACTGTGGAAAAGCGGCATTAGTGTAAATTTACGCGGCGCCGAGCTTGTGCTGGTCATGTGACACGGATCAGCCATCCGTACACCCTCGGATTTTTCTCACACACAGTGTGAGAGAAGGTCCACTGTGATTGGCCCGTGTGTGAGAGAAGGTCCACTGTGATTGGCCCGTGTGTGAGAGAAGGTCCACTGTGATTGGCCCGTGTGTGAGAGAAGGTCCACTGTGATTGGCCCGTGTGTGAGAGAAGGTCCACTGTGATTGGCCCGTGTGTGAGAGAAGGTCCACTGTGATTGGCCCGTGTGTGAGAGAAGGTCCACTGTGATTGGCCCGTGTGTGAGAGAAGGTCCACTGTGATTGGCCCGTGTGTGAGAGAAGGTCCACTGTGATTGGCCCGTGTGTGAGAGAAGGTCCACTGTGATTGGCCCGTGTGTGAGAGAAGGTCCACTGT